TTACGGATAGTATAGAAAGGCCGATGGAGAATATATCTGTTGCCTAAGATATATTCGAGACACAACCCCAATGTAAGTCTGCGAACAAGAGTACTACGAAACACGAATCATGAAAGATAATAGTTAATGTAAAATCATTCGTCTAGCAATAGTGAAATCATTCGTCTAGCAAGAAGGAATTATTTTCTGAGAGAAATAATTAGTTACGATATTGTCTGATCTTAAAAATAGAGTTATAAAGATATACTTAAGTAGTATAATAAAGTTGGCTAAGTCGGCAGCATGCCCCATATCATAATATACTTGAGTGGTTAATTTCATCCTGGACTCAGTTAAAAGTGAAACTTCGTAGTATTAACTTTAATTGGAGGTCGAGGCATACCGATGGATATAATGTTAAACTGCGCATCAAAACCAATTTTTCAATGTATAAGTTAAAGAGTGGGGTTAAAGTTATGATAATTCGATATCTTCTTTTTACTTCAAAATATATTCTAAGGCTCTAGCAAAATAGTCCTATTTCGGGGGGCAGAATTACTCAATAAATAAATAGTCTATTAGCCGCGCCAAGCACACCAGAGCAGGATTACTTTTCGCCGCAATTAAGAGATTAATAAAGAACGACCGTTTATGTGTAAAATTTGTTGTGACGTAGCAAATGATATTGTGTGACGATGATTAAAGAAAAGTCTTTTTGCATTTTCTCGGGGCAAGTCATTTTTACTCCATAAAGATGAATATCAGACAAGCAGTTGTTAGTATTTCGGCAATTATAATGATTTTATTTTGTCCTTCTATGAGGTCAAAGCCTACAATTTATAATGCTAAAGAATAGGTTGATGACCTTCTCGCAATGCAAAATTGCAACCTTATGAACTTGCCAGAGAACTATCAGATGAAATATTGTAAGTTGATTTAATCACCATTCAGCGTCGCTTTGACCTATTCTGATTTTGAACGTTTTAATGCAGACTTTTACCATGCTCTTTCGTGGCCTCAGCTCTCGTTCGTAGCCGAAGATCTCAACGGGAAGATTGTCGGTTACGTACTGGCTAAAATGTGAGAAATAAGTTGGAGCGTAAGAGGTATTGGATGTAATATTGAATAGTATATTGATGGTCCACTGATGGATGATAGGGAAGAAGACCCGGAAGATGCGCCACATGGGCATATAACATCCCTGTCCGTTATGCGAACGTACAGAAGACTCGGGATTGCCGAGAAGCTTATGACACAAGCCCGTAAGAACAATTTCTGTTAGATTCAGACCTCCGTGAACTAGACGTATATTTACCCGAAAAGTTACCTTCTGCATCGTGTATACTTGATTAGAGAAATCAATGGTAGAAGCATTCAACGCACAGTATGTTTCATTGCATGTTAGAAAGAGCAATAGAGCGGCGTTGCAACTATACAGAGATACGTTAAAGTTCAGGTAACACCCCACAAACTCATTTAGATCTTGCAAGTCGTAACTCATTGTATATATGACTCTTACTGATAATATGATAATGATTGACAAACACGTATATCTGCTAGAATACATGACATTGAGAAGAAATATTATGCAGATGGAGAAGATGCATATGCTATGCGAAAAGACTTGCAACCTCCGTCGAGCAATGCAAGCAGCAGTACGAAAACATAATTTCAATAAATATTACTTATGTTTAATGAGACAATTGTAGGCAGACATGGCGTCACCATTTTACGGTTGTTGAGATGATTATTTCTCAGAGTTAGACTACCCAAATACTGAAGGTGGTATCAGAGTCTGATGACATCAGAATTTCGTACTTTGCGACGGTCCTCCTTCCTTTTAGTTTATAATTTCAAAACATTAAATGCATAAATGCGAAAACTTATAGGGAATAACGGAGCGAAATACGAAACAGCATGAAAGTAACTTACTAATTGTTAAAATTAAGCTGTATTCCCGTTCGGATCAACACCGGATTGTAGAGAATTTGATTTGCATGGCAGCACTGTAAACATCATGCTTGTTATGGGTATTTATATTTACACTACCTCATACGCTATGGCCCTTCAACTTGTGACGAAACGTGTTTGTCACCGATACTTTATTGATATGTCACATCCGCAATTCCAGTGCATGGGAGAAGGATCTCAAGCATCCTTTTTGATGTGAATAAGCGTGCTAAATACTATACAGGATGTTCTGTAATTCTATGAATGCCAGAAACCCAGGCAAGTTTAACTTGCAAATCGGGTATTAAACTGCCCAATCATATGTAATAGTAACGTTAGTATTAATAACAATTGTTATTATGCCCGAATACATAAGCCAGTTAGAGACTAATTTTAAGCCAACCTGGAACAAATGTTGGTCTAATACTAATACTAATTGCATAACCACAAACTATGTGAAAAGAAAAAACGGTACACAAAAAGCAATTTTCCAAGATAATTGCCAAGCTATTCAGAAAAAGGTTGACAAGGAAAGGAGAAGTGAGTATAATTAGATACGGAACATTAATGGAACATAGAATACATTAATAAAACACTTGATTATATAGCCAGTCGCGTCAAGGTGAATATTAAAATGTAGAAAATACTGAATCTCATACAATCTACACAAGGTTATTAACAGAACACGAAATATACAAGTCGGCTTATCGATGCATTATTATGTACCGCATCTAAGATCCAAGACTATTTTATGCACCACCGTACATTGGACTCAAAAGGATATAAAGGATATAAATGTGGAAGTTTATTGCTTTTTATCTGTAATGATTTAATTCATGTGTAATGAGACTTGAGATCTCCCAAAGCGAAGTATATTCAATTACGCATTTGTACTTTGTGTTCATTCTGTATTATTCGCAGTAACAAACAGCAAAATATAACTATACAACTCCATATTTGAAACGCAAAGATCGCTACAATTAACCTAATTGTGTGTTAAACTGGCAGTCATTATCTCACGCGTCTCAATTGTTCTATCTCTATCATTCTCAACACGAATTGTTCATTATGGTTACTGTTATCGTCGTTACATGCACGCTGTTATTAAAATAAACCATTGAGCAGTCAATCTCATTTGTAATTGTGCAGGTAGACGTACATGCGGGTATAATTTAACCCCCCTATAAATATAAAAATGACAACTGAACTAGTACATTTCTCTTAAACAAGAGCGAAACAACTAACATAGATGTCGCAGTATGGTATATGCAATACTTACCGTAACAAGATCTTTTTCTGCACTTGTTTAATGTTAGTCCGGAAATATCGATTTGTGAGTTTTATAACGAATAATAATGGTCTTCTACATATATATATATATATTGACTTGTCTGATTATAACTTAAGACTCAAAAGCAAAGAATGGTTTTTAAGCCATGCATTTCATGACAAATTTTATTCTTAATTCCCCAAGTTCAAGCAAAACTCATATCTACATTTAAGTCGTTTTCAAGCGCTTTTCTTCAATAGTAACTTCTTAAATTTCCTCTTCCATACCAATAATCCTTATTGTATCGACTATCTTCTTGTTAGTCGTTAATAACTTATTGATAGGACCTTCTAGATTTCGGCTGCACTTGTAGTTCCTCTTTCTATTGTTAACCAGATGAAAACTGTCTGTTTCGCTATTCTATACTTTATTGCTGTATCTTTTTACTTGAGCGCCTTTTTCCCTAATAGTGTTTAAATTGATATTACAATGCCTTGTAATTACAGTATTATTATCATCACCATTATTATTACAGTCGACCTCCCCTACAGTCCCATAGTGGTGGAATTCCAAAATCGGGTGACAGTGACTCATATATGATTGTGACTCTAAGGGAGGAAAATCACTATGAACAATATGAAAGTTCCATGCTATAAAATTTGTTTTTGCATTCTTTAATATTAACACTTGTGTAACACTCAACAATCGATTGCATATATAGATCACTTTAACGCATTGACGAAAAAAGTATCATTAGCTTCTTCACAATGTTTAAAGTGTACAAGAGTTCATATAAAACAAGGTCCCAACTGAATCTAGATAATAAGCGCGAAATTTGTGAATATGCTAAACGACATTCGAAAGCGAAGCATGGCGAAATAGCAAACCATTTTAATAAGAAATTTAACGTTTCCATACTGTTAGCAAAATTTTAAAAATGGATGGTTTAATCTTCCTCCAAGTAAACAGACTACTACCAGTACAATTGAAGGAAGCACGAATAAGCCTGAACTTTGACCCTTGGAACTGGCATAAATTGGTTCTCCCTTTTTCGAGCAACAATCAGACGATGTAGGTTTTGATATCAAAGACTTCCGTATTTTCCGAAAGTATTTGAATTTACTAAATGTCAAAGAATTTCAATCGAAACAACAACAAAAAATTGACACTTACTTTGGCTCATTACAATAAGAATATAATTTTAATCACATGACCATACGCAAACCTTCTATACAGTCAGATTTCATACAGTCACCAGTTTTTTGCCTGGTGGACTGTAGGGGATATTATTTGTGGCTTACTAAAATTTTGACCCCTGATTTTCTGGGCCTAATAAAAAGGTTTATTATCAGGATCTTGATTAGAAAATGCTCAAACAAACTTGTTTCGCTTTCTCGAAAAATGTCACAATACTTCCAATACCTTACTTCCTACAAATTCGTAATTTCCACTACAAACGCCGCAAGAAAGTTCGCATACCTAAACCGAAACCACCAATGAATCTCCCAACCGATCCCGACTTTTATGCTGGACGAACTGGTCTAATTCGATTCGAAGAATACTACCACAATACCCTTGCAGAAGATCTTATGGTAATGACTTATAGACACAAGACAAAAGAAATGATAAAAGCTGAAGTTGAGGAGCGCGCTCGACAATTGCAAGCGGCTGACGAAGCGGCAGCGGCAGCGCTGGAAAATCCATACTTGAAGAATAGACCAACACCCCCACCAAGAGGGAAGAAATCGATCAAGCCTAAAAGACCATCGAGTTCGGTGAAGACTATACCGCAATTGGACAAGATCGATTTACATTGTATGGTCAAGGAGAGTCTACAGAGAAAGGAGGCGTTGTTGAATGGGATAATGGCATTGTATTCTATTACTTCCGAGCTGCCTACGGTAGTTTATTCCAAGCATGGTGTTGCTAATTGGAAATTAAGACCGGGTAAGCAAATTTGCGTGGAAATGATGCAATTCATTCTGTTTTTCTTTTTGGAGAATTTAACGTTTGATCTACCCAAAGGAATGCCTATCGCGTGCAAAGTATCTCTCAAAGGTGCAGCCATGTACGCATTTCTCGACAAGTTAATTGAAATTGTTTTACCAAGGACGAGAGAATGGCATGGTTTGCCCGCTAATGCAGGAAAAGATGGAAACATTGCTTTTGGATTGCCATCACAAGCGGTACCATTGTTCCTGGACATTGAGATTAACTATGAAATGTATCCAATTATACCCGGATTCGACGTCGTTTTCAACACAACAGCATATACCAATCCAGAAGGACGTCTTTTATTAAGTGGATTTCAGATACCGTTTCAATCAGCTCAGAAACGTTAGAGATGTAACTATGTCCGATCTATGCTAGATCGGTAGTCACGATTCCAAATCGATCAAGTCACGCCACGCTTTTGTGACGAAATTGTCACCCAGACTCTAATTAGAATGACGTAGAGGGCCTGTAGAATAAAAAAAGAGAGAGAGGATATTCTGTTTGCTGTTGAAAATTGTATTTGCAACCTGTTGTATAAATCGGGATTTTAGTCACATGATTTTACGTGTATTGTACACGTATTAGTAGGTAATAAATTAAAATACATTCTGCATTAATACCAATAGTCACTATTCTATCACATTATCACCCAATAGAATTTTAATCATGTGATAATCGACATATGCGTCGCGTGCAATAAAATACAAACAAACCCGCCTTTGTTGCGAGAGCAAGTCTTATCTTTTATCGAGAACAAAGAACATCACCATTCCTCTTAATAATGTCTGCCAGTCACTTACTTCCGCGAATGAAACGTGAATTAGGTAACAATTACAACAATGTGCTACGTACGCTAGTCTACACTCTATCTCTAACATTTGATTATGTGCTATTCGTAGAAATACTCGAACGTGATCCACCTCCAGGCATTATCTGCTATCCTGTCGAGGATAATTGCTTGCACTTGACAGCACGTAATGCGTTATCATTTATGTATTTATTCATTCTATCAAAAGACCGTCCTAGTTTCTCTAATGCAATAATATTTAACTTTCAGAGGTCAAGGGTCCGAAAGACACGCCATATGAGGGCGGAATATTCAAAATAGACGTACAAATTCCTGGACAGTTAGTAAAATTTTATCGTTGATAGATGCGTGTTATTCCATGTATTCTTATTTTCTGTGTTATGCTCGCTTTTACTGTAGTTATCCAATGGAGCCTCCTAAAATGCAATTTATTACGCCAATATATCATCCAAATATCGACGAAGCTGGAAGAATTTGTTTGGATACACTCAAAATGCCTCCAAAAGTATCTATTAAATTGCGAGATTGATAGGAAAAATTAGTACTTGGAAATAATATCTGATTTAATATAATAGGGTTCGTGGAGACCGTCACTCAATATCTCGACGACGTTAACATCAATAAGCATTCTTATGGCAGATCCGAACCCCGATGACCCATTAACAGCTGAAATTGTAAGTGGGAAGAGTTGCACAAGAATAGAAACATCCTGATAGATTGATTCTTACAAAGAATGGTTTATTTCTTGGTAGGCACAGGAATATAAAATGAACAGAGAGCTGTATAATCGGCGAGCAAGAGAAGCTACTATCAAACATGCAGTTGCGGATATAAAGAACGATTGCGAGAAGGTAAGGACATAAATTTCATTTGCTGAATGACGCTGACTATGTTAAGGCACCAACAATTAAACCTTATCTCTTACTGTGAATAAGGTATCATCTTGAACAAGAAAGAGACATTATATTAAAACATATTAATAAAGGAAGTTTTTACCGTCTCCACTGTCAACTTATTCATAATCGTGAGCAGTATTGATGTCCAAGTGACATGTCGAGTAAAATTCTTGGAACACCTGTCGTTTGTACATCGTTTGCACATCGTTTGCACATCGTTTGCACTTTGTCCACGTTTCCGATGAGCGGATTCACAACGCACTAATGCACCAGAACAAGATTAGGCTTCGTAATAGCGACCTCTGTTAATTTTACATTGCTATTTTGTCACAGATTGAACGATTCGTTTCTAATGGTGGGGCTATTGAAAGTCAATCTAACTTCTAAACGCATAGAGAATATATTCAATTTATCTAATAATGTCACAATCCATTCACAGCTTTAACATATGTTTTAAGCACACGATTTCACCTGGCATTCAAGTCCAGATTCATACTATTCGCCAACGCCTTCTATCAGGCAGTTCAAGAAAAAAGCCACCTAATCTGTTCACACAGTTGCTAGTCTGATGTTTATTTAATTAACCCGAAAATCTGTGTGCGCTCGAATTTTGTGACACCCAGCATATAATGATAGATCAACTTGATCTGACTGAGCACTTTCGACAAGTTTTTTATCCATAATGTTCACAGGCATAGTTGAACACGTTGGGACCGTAATTGAAATTCACGAACTCGATAAATCTGCTTCAGGTGGAGGAGGATGGAGTCTGAAGATTGGAGATTGTGAGGTTATTCTTACTGATGCACATCTTGGTGATAGCATCTCGGTTAATGGTAAAATAATAAACTTGACGATCAGGTTACTGTGCGGGACAGTCTTTTAAAGAAATCGACTATGATCTAAGGATAGATTGGGTAAAATATATAATATAGGAACTTGCTTGACTGTAACAGAGTTTGAGAAATCATGGTTCAAAATAGGCTTAGCACCAGAGACCTTACGACGAACTAACCTTGGTAAGATACTCCAACAATGACTTCTGTGTCGTTGAACGAATTCTTGTGTGTTGACTAAAACCGATTTAGGGGAGTTGAAAGTTGGTGATAAAGTAAATCTCGAGCGTGCTGTTTCGGCAGGCATAAGATTTGGTGGACATTTTGTGCAGGTATTTCTTTTATTTAGAACTGTTCGCGCTGGTTCGCACTTTACTCATACGAAATTTACTTTTTAGGGTCATGTCGATACAACGGCAACGATAATCTCAAAAACTCCCGATGGCAACTCACTCTACATCAAAATGGCTTTGACAGATCCATCATATATAAAGTACATAATTCCCAAAGGATACATATCGATTGACGGGACTTCCCTTACAATTATCGACGTCAACGATGCCGAGGCATGGTTTACGATTATGTTGGTCGCGTACACTCAGGAACATGTTATATTCCCGTTGAAGGAAATAGGGGATAAGGCTAACATTGAAGTTGATATGTTGGGCAAATATGTGGAGAAAATTGTCAGTGGAATGCTTAAAGGTGATAGCGAAGAAGCAGGTGGATATCTGGAAAGTATTGTCAGGAAATATGTGGACTCTAGAGGAAAGACCTAGGATATTCAAGCGTTATTTATTGTTATGCATGATTGGGTATTATTCCTGAATAAAGGCTTCCGAATCGAATGTTTAATCATCTCCTAACAATTTATCGATGGAATGTTGCATTTGACACTTATCATGTTGAATATTTTCCTCTAGTTCCCCGACAAAATAATCTCGATGTCGTCGTCTGATGGCGGAAGAATTCCTGTTTGATCCAGCAATTTTTTATAGTATTTGTCGTAACCTTATCCCAAGCGTGGCTGTCATCTGAATCGCATCCAGTATAGAGAGTTTCTAAGGAGATACTCCAGTTTCTATTTCTTTATCAAATTCTTGGATGCGATTTTCGCAAAATATTTAGCCTGGAAAGTACGTTAACAGATTAATAAAACTTTAAGTTTTGATACTAAGCATATAGCATAAATTATTTGTACCTTGAACTATAAATGATTCCGGCATCACATGGTTGAAGATGAGCTGTTGTATTTGCTGGTAGAGGGTGGATGGTGATGTTCGTAAGATGAAGGTCTTCAGAGCGTTATATCGATAAGTAACAATATATGTCGGTTTTGATTTTTCATAATTCGATTTAATTGTTTTAAGAAGGCGGACTAAATAGAACGTTGCATCCACGTTTTATTGTTCCAGTAATAAAAGACCGGGAGGATCAACTTTTGAATATTCTTTAATGCTCGTGGATCTTCTTAGCGATAGATAGAAGTCGGTCTAATTTTTCACCCAATGCACTACTACAAGTAAGCAATACCGTCACGCGTTCTTTCGAACTCATAATGTTTAATGACATTTTGTACTGGCTTCTGAACTCGGTAAGAGTGCACTATTACCTGCACCCGATTTTAAGTATTATGTCTTTTTTTAAATCCGTCAAACCACCCATCAGATGCAGTAAATTATTTATTTGCAAATCGGTTGGCTTTTTCTTTCATAATATGCCCAGAAAGAATACATTGTAGTGATAGCCATATTGATAAAGTTGAGGCCACGCGGAAGACTGTTGTTTTTTCAAACCTCTATTTTCTTTCATTAATTATTTGACCGGAAACACTAATAAACGGCTCACTCAAGCTGTAAAAGGCTCATTTAAGCTGTATAAGTTGTCCGTTGATCTATTACTCTTAATTGAGGAACGAGAGCAAATAATTATTTATTGAAACGAAAATTGCTTAATTAGTAATTTAGAGACCAGACTAGTCGAAATACCAAACCTGTTTAATATTAAATAATAATTGTTGTTGTTATTCTATTGTGGGTATCCTTATTTGGATCACGAGTGATTTGAAGCTCGGATAGGGATTTGAGAAGCGCGCATTTAATTTAATTATAAATAGGTCACTTGTAGATTAGAATTCATGCCCAATTCATCGTCGGAAAAGTGTTTCACATAAGAAATAGCATAGCCAGCGCTGAAGCGTACCATCTGGGCATTCGCAGGCGGACTCCCAACGAGTAGTAATAACGTCCCTGCTTATCCAGATGAGTAACCTGAGTTTTCCCGACCTTCAGCTTAATGCCTAGCAGACGCTTGCGCAGGGATTGCGTCTCATATGAACGTCCGCAGAATACAAGCGAGTAACCTGAGTTTTTTCTGCTCGAGCAAACTGGATATATTACCAACTATGTAATAGGAAGAAAGGAGAAAAAACAGCAGCAGGTGTCAGAAAATCTTTCACGGTAAAATGAGTCGCACAAAGTATTTACGCGTATTATACACGTATTTTATCAGAAAGGACGTTAAAATTAGCTTTCTGCGGACCGACTGCAACCCCTCGGCCATTGAACTTTTATGAAACATTCAAATGCAGAAGCAAAGCCGCTGCCAAGTTCGATTATGGCTTACGACTGAGGGACGCCTTGCGGCAAGATCCCGAGTCCGAGACGCTGCTAAATTTATTGAAGGATCCCGATTCCAGGCTCATCCTTCGCGTGGCGATCGATAAAGAAACCAACGCCTTGGACGGTAGTAACATATTACCTTAGGAGTTATGAACGATACTGGAGAGACAATTGAGAAGGTGTGTGCAGCGGTTATCCGATAAAAAGAAAGTTGGACGCTGGTGAATACGAGAATAACTGTTCAGATTATATTGACAAGAAAGAAAATAGTAAAATTAACGTGAGTTTCTTTGGGGGAAGGCACTTTATTCTTCAGAGAAGACAGGTCATTAATCTTTCAATAGTGCAAAGTAAAAAAAGGAAACGTCAGGCCCATGTTGCATTTCATGCCCAGTTGGATAGTGCTCTTGATGGTAACTTTCATTATGAAATAGGTATGAGAACATCAATGTGTGGTACTGGCACGATTCTAATAATTGGTTTCTTTTGTTCTTTCATAGGAAAGACAGTTACAGATTCAGTAGCAGATAATGAAAATGATATGACTTCAATGGGCAGTATGAAAAATATTTCAAATGAAGAAGCATGGAGAAGATGATGGGCAATTCAAAATTGATCTAGATAGCCTTACCTGAGAACTGCAAAGAGAGCCATTAAATGAGGTAGGATTAGCCAATTGGCTTGTTTTCTTCTAAAACTACTAATTTCAACAAATTTACATTTTACATAGTGGGTTGTTGTGAATATCAACATCACAAGAAGATTCCAGAAATACCAACAAGAGGTGGTTTTGAAAGCAAAAACCAATGGGCTAGCATGGAATAGTACCTATGAAATTCTGTAATAGTAAGTCTTCTGCTAATGTATTCATGATTGCACTGGGCTTATCTTTCATCAGTTGCATTTAGGGCACTATCTTCTATTATAGTTATTTGCTGGCCATGTCCTTACCCAAACTTTAGTAACCAAGAATGGCAACAAATACTTCAGACAAACCTGCTCATTATCAAGGATACACAGCACTTGGGAGAAATAAAGATTTAGTTGAGGGCAGAGAAGGCAATAAATGAACAATTGATTATGAGGGGTGTATATGTAGGGTGGTCCTGGAGAAGCATGCCTTCTTACAAATCTTGGTATGTATGCTTTTGTTATATGTCAGTTATAAACTCTACAATAAATTGCTGAAACAACAAACCTTCATGTCTAAGGTGATGTCTTGGAATCATTTTGTATGGATCTCAAACTTGATGGGATGTATCACTCATGGATGTTCCTTACTACCAAGCTTGTAATTATAATTGACAAGCCCACAATCCCATTGTTTGAATATACATTCTCTCATTTTTTGAAGTTGGAAGTAAGTAAATTGTGTGACCTCTTTCTTCAGCTTATGAGTGGATACTAAAATTACTGCACTCTTTTCATTAATATTAAAGAAAAACTTGCCATGGAGTATAAATACTGAATTGACCAATTTATGCCAACTGCTCATTTGCAGTTTGTTCAGGAGCTACCAGAATCTCCACAATTGAAATGGATACTAGAATGCTTAGCATCTTGATAATAATAATGAGAATTAGCAAGTTAACATTAATATGCAATGTTTTAATAATAAATTGTTTGGGCCACTCCCAGATATATGTTGTGATGTTTACTTTGGTTTTGTTGCAGCATGCCCCATATTAATATGACATTATTTTATCCAAGAGCTTATGAGCACCCACCTCTCCTTTAACTTACCTACTTGCCAAATCTGTTGTGGGAGTAATAATAAGCTGATGAGAGCACCCACAATCTAACCTCAATATAATGAAGACTGAATATGGCTCTACAGTAAAGAATCCAGATTAAGATACAAAAACAGTATTATTAAAAACTTTACTATATTGAAAATTTTTGATTGAATTTCCAATATTAATTAATATGTAATATTAATATGGGGCATGCTGCAACAAAACCAGACAAAGTGAACATTCTATTATGTGACATAAATGAGAGTTTGATGTGGCTGAAAGATTAATTAAGTGACTAACATAAGTCTGTTGTCACTATGTAGATAAACATAAACAGCCTGTGTGTTTTCAAGGTTATAGTCTCTTGCCTGAATAAGGAATAAACAGCATTAAAAATTTGCTGTTGAATTTAATTGAATTAAGGCGGTTGATCTATGCTTACTGAAGGGTCCATTTCTTTCCAGGGTGTCAAATTGACAATGGATGAGTTTGTGTCAGTTAAAATCCTGACTATGTAAAGGCAATTATCTCTAACTGCTTGATGAATGGCCCTAATACTAAATGGTATGTTTTTTTCTCCAGAATTAGTCTTATCTTTATCTACAAAAAAGAATCAGAGCATGAGTTGGAATTAAAAATATGTGTTCATCAGAGAGCAACTAACACTTACTAAGTAAAGCAGAAGCTTTATCAAAGAAGATGTGTATTTTTTGTTCAATCCCAACTTTCTCCAGAAATCTGATTCTCAACAATCCACTTTTTATTAACAGAACTTCATTCCAGAAATCAGTCTCTGACTCCTAAGAAAAAAAGTTAGAATACAACAATAACAATTAACAATTGAGCAAGTTATCTAACCTTGTTATTTAGTAAGTCTGCAGGTTTCGAGAGTCATAGTATGGCCCGGATCCACCGTCCCGATATTGCATGGGCAGTATCTATATCTTCCGCAGTCTTTAGTTTATTCAATATTATATCACTCAGCCGGTTGAAGTTTTACTACGGAAACACACGTATATGAGAGAAATCCCTTTAGACCCAAGCCAAATGGATCTTGCCTTCAAGCGGTCAGTCAACCCAGTTAGGAAATTGGCAGGCTCTTGAAACTCGATTTTGAATGCATTGTCCCAGACTAAGGAAATGATACTTAAAATCCCATTAGTTTTAAAAAAACCAAAACACACAAGAACAAACCTTTAATTTTCTCCGGCAGTTCGTGCGTGGGTTTCGAAATTAATTTCTTTCCCATGCCGTAACAGCATTCGAACTATTCTCTCTCCGCTGCCCCTCTATTAACCCAAGCATTTAGGATTTGCTTTTTTGTATCTAAATGTGAAATCAACGGTTGGCTCGGCCATGTTGTCAAGTTATGAGAAGGAATTATATTCTGTTGCATATCACGTTGGCATGCATCAAATCAGGTTGTCCGATTGTTGCCCTGTGATTTTGATACGAGTACCTACATTGCTCTCAATTGTCTCACAATATAATAGTAAGTTCTTATCATACTAATTAGTGATTCATGCTGTCATAAAGAACGCGCTGCTCAAGATATGCTTTATGCGTTTGAAATAATCTTTGTTCATTGTCAAGAAAAAAGGGTTCGGAGGTAAATCAGTTTTTGTCTGGACTTTTAACAAATCGAACTTACTTTTATGAGCGCATGAGGTTACTATAAAAGCAGCAGGATTTCTCTTCATTTCATACCTAACAATCAATATTGATCGTCAAATCAATCGTAAAAGCTACCCGATCACTTTGACTTAAACATAGTTTTTACTGCTCTTATCATCCTCTTCGCTTACCCGTTCTTTCTTCCCAACCAGCAATCAAATATCTTGACAATGTGCAGAAATTCTATAATCCATCCCTCCCTACCGTCAGCGATCTGGTTAAAGTACAATGTGCTGTGTGGGTGCCTTTGGATCATAACGTATGCTAAGCGTGCATTTGTCCACTGGTATGTCTTTGGCATGTGTGTTCATGATGATAATTAGATGATGGTGGATATTATAATGGCGTTGTTTTGCCTGGGCAACAGGTTCGACGTACAAGTCCATGGTTTGATGGAAACAATGAGCAATATTCTATACAAGTACATGGCCGATTTAAGGGGAATAAGTGGACTGGAGACGACATTGTATTCGGGGTATTTATGACAAATTTGATTATCACTTGTAAAATAACTCTCCCCATCATTACAATTGACGAGTTCTGCTACAACATTTATCATTCCCAGAATGACTTTGATCAACCTCTCCATCTTCCACCTGGTAGTTGGATAGGTCTAAAAATCCTCCAATTTATCGTTCCAGGTCTTGAGCGGACATCTATTCCCAAAAACCTTGGGCGTACAGTCTGTTCCTAGTTACCATGAATGCAATCAGACTCACTATCGACAACTCACCGTCTCTTCCTCTGTGGTCATCACCCAATGGTGAGCATATTACCGAATCTATTCCATTACTTGATCAGCCACTGTCTTCTCCAAGCGCGAGAAGGAGTTACTTTTCAAATAAAGAAAATCGGGAGCAACAGAAGATCAAGTATGGGATTTGGATTTTTTCAATGCGTACATTGATTAATAGACCTTTTTTTCTCGAATGTTCTGTAATAAATCTAGAAATTTCTAAAAAAAATTTTGCTACTATAAAAAGAATGATCTGCATGGACAAATCCGGAGGATGGCTAAAGCGGAGTAGAACGTGACCTGATTCTTGCAATTACATTGGTCAAATTTGTATATCAACCAATGA